GAGAGAGAGAGAGAGAGAGAGAGAGAGAGAGAGAGAGAGAGAGAGAGAGAGCAACTCAATGCACTCGCTTACATTTACCGTGCATCCTGACACTACTGCACTGAGAGAAAAAAATCTAAAAATCAATAATATTATTTATTTGGTGGATACTATATCTAAATTCTTAAATTTAAATTCTCTTTTATTTAAATGAAAATTACTTTAAAAAATCAAAATTTTTTTATTTAAATAGAATAAATAATTATTTTCAGAAAAAAAAGATTTCCTTAAGATCTTAAAAAAAATGTCGAAAAATATTGCATACAAATAAATATAGTGTTATAGCGTATCCATCCAAATAAATATTTATTAATTCTTAGATGTTCTTTTTCTCTTATGTGAACGCACACTCCATTCGTTACGGAAACAATTTATTATCAGCTAATCGCATGCAGTCACACAGGCTGTATCTCAAAGTACGATAAGTAAGGGCAGTGCATTCTTTCCTATGGAGAATCCCGAATTTCTCGGTGAAAATATCCGAACCAAGGCTGCGTTCGGAAACGTCACTCGAGCACTCTTCCTCTCTTTTTATCTCACTCTTGTATCTCGCTCACTCCAACGTAACGGGTACACTTGGGTGATGTTTCCGAACGCAGCCCAACCGAGTCGATGGATTAATCCCGATGAACCAACGATTTAGGGTAATGCATGAAGGACAGTTGAAGGGACGATTCCTCGCGATATAGAAGCGAGACACCACGAACGTCGTGTCATGCAGTCAACTCGTGAAGGCACTCGACGGCTGATCCTCCTCGACTGGAACGTCCGTGTCACCGTCGACTACATTCAGATACAGCCTGTGTATGTACGGGACACAATCACACGAGACACACGCGCTCAACGACAAAAGCGCTCTCGTAAATGAAACGGGACACGAGGAGAGTCAATCACGGAGTCTCGACGGCAACAAACCGAATGAAGGCGAGCCGTCGATCTTATCGCGCGCGCGATACGCGTTATCGTAATCTCGTGGAATCGAGCGATTACCTGTCCGGACGATTCCGCTCGTATGGGAACTCGCGTGCGCGAATTTTCCGTCGACGGAGCGCGGCGTGAGAAGCAGAGAGAGCAAGACACAGGCCACTACAAAACGACGGATATACACCACCATCCGCCGCTCGTGTTTGTCTCTTTACCTGTTGCACGTACCACTGGGTGGAGCTCTGGCTCTTCCGGTGGCCGCTGGGCTTGCAAGGGGCGCAGAGTAGCAAGGGGGTCAGTTTGTTCACCCCTTTGACGGGGGCAGCGCCGGTCGTCGCTGGTGTGGGCGACGCTGCTGGGCTCAGCCCGTCATCCCCCCCCAACACCGGCCACAGCATCCACGTGTGGATCCACGTCCGTCCGCAGCTGCCCTTCTCCCCCTCTTCCTCCCTCTTCGTCCCTCTTCGTCCCCTTTCCGAACCCTGTGCGCCCTCAGGTTAGTTCTTTCTTCGCGAAGCCGCTCTCTTTCTCTCTCGATCTGTCTGTTGCGTTTTCTTCTTCTGTTTGGTCGTTCTCACTAGTTCTTATTCTTCCTCGTCTTCCCTTTTCCCTTCTGTCGCTTCTTCGTCTTCTTCACGACCGTCCCGTCTCTCGACGACTTCCCTCCGGAACCTCCGATACGTCAAGCTGTCGCCACGCGAGTCGCCGGCGCACTAAATCGTCGACGTCGCGTTACGCCTCGACGATGACGATGACGACGTTTGCGCGCGATCGCCGCGAGTTGCAGGAGCGTATCATTGTGAGCCGGTGCGTGTCCCGGACGTTCGTCGGCAGCTGCGGCTAAAGGTTTAAGCGATCGGTTGGAGTGGTTTCGACGAGGCTCAGGTGGCTCGCGTCGGGAGAGTCACTTCGTCGTTACCTTGCGAGTGCACGAGCTCAATTCCTCCCTCGAGTTTCCTCGACTTGGGCGTAATCTCAAAATGCGTTGTCTTTTGTGTCTCTTTTTTACATACAAATTATTTTCACCCGATAGAAATATTGCAATTCAATCCTAAATATTTAGTATTCTCTAATCGACAAAGTAGTGTTGTTTATCCCTAAAGAAATTTTAAGATTTCTACAGTGAAATTTTACTCAAGAAGTCGAATGACTACTCGAGTGACTTTTCGCTCATGCAGAGTGAATTCGCCGCTCTGAATCGGCGAGTTTTCATTCGAGATTCAAGAATGAATCTGATGTACACACATGAATTCACAAATGCCTTACCGTTCCCCGATATCGGGAGTTATTATTTTATTATTATATTATTTTCGCGATTATCTAGAAGCAAGTCTAAATTTGTACAAATTATTCCACTTGTGCGAATCCAGATTTGCTTCTGGACGTCGATGGGGAAATTCGGACACCTGGAACGAACTTTTCCAAGTGAATTTCCAAGCGAAAAAGTCAACCCTTCCGGTCATCGATCGATCGTCGCGATGTTTGCGACTCCGGGGGCAGAGGAGCGACACGCTCGTCCGCCACTGATCATACTTGCACCTGACTTACAGCGACACAAAGAAAACAAGTCCGCGAACCCCGCTGAACTTTATTTCGGGCGGCTCTAATCAAAGGGGAGAGACGCCTCCGTCTCGCAGCGCTTCAATGGGCCAATAATTAATTACGAAAGGTCGGAGGTGACGTGCGTGTTTGTACTTCCGATATGCACGCGTAACACACTCACGTGGGCGAGGCAAAAGGCCCATCGTGCACGAGCACTGCGCGAGGAGACTTCTTGACTTGACCGCGCCAACCCTTCTCCTTTCCGACGTTAAAGGCTAACTGACGCGCGAGCGACGCGCCATTGGAAGTGAAACGACGCGTTAAACAGTGTTTTATCGAAACATAAAACAGAAACAATACGACGAAAGAGAAGTACTTTTGCTCGATTTTTTTACCTTACGTCATTAGCCTCCTTTTCTTCTTATTAGTATTAGCTAAAGACTGATGTCTTAATTTACGTCATCAGCGTCTCTTCAATCAACTAAAATGATCGAAGAGACAATAAATATGCCATGAAAATGAAATATGATATTGAACATACACTGCAAAAACTGATATGTTAAATTTAACATTTCATGTGTCCCAAATCATCCACTCTCATTTATGTGTAAATTTAACACAAAACAAATGTGGTAGAAAGTAACACGCATAATATGGAAAAAATTAACACTTGAATACCGTCAGGAATCATAGTCTGTGTTAAATTGATACATGTATAATGTTAAATTAACTAAAATAAAACGTTACTTTAACATTTGAGAAAAGTATTAATCTACACTTTTGATAAAATGAAAATGTTCAATTGACATAATCTATGTCTTGATTGACATATTAAATATGTCAATCTGTCACAACCTGTGATTCCTGATAGTATTCAAGTGTTAAATTCTTGTTAATTTTTTCCATATTATGCGTGTTACTTTTTAACACATTTGTTTTGTTAAATTTACACATAAATGAGAGTGGATGATTTGGGATACATGAAATGTGTTAAATTTAACACATCAGTTTTTACAGTGTACGACTCACCAATTGACACACAAAGCAGCGCACAAATTCCGTTTCACGATCCTGAATTGCGTATATCGTAAACAGTCGGCCAGCGCGGAACTTTTCTCTTTTTACGAGTGCAATTTGAGTCCCATTTGCGTCGCAACCGAAACAATTGCGCAACAGTTTGCGCTCGGATTGTCCCGGATACGCGACGCGACGTGAAAAACGTCCCGGCGACAATTGGGCGCACTAACGAGAAGTTAAACGCGTTCGAGAACTCTCGCGAGGTGTCTACGTGAAAAACGTGACGCGTGACGTTCCTCCTCTCGGTTCAATGCGACCGTTAACGCTCCTTAATTGCCAACTCGTTACGTGTCGCCGTCGCGTTTTATTCCGCTAATGGACAATAATCTGCCGCGAATTGACCGCCGCAACTACGGAGGAGCGATGCGTCTCGTCGCGGTCTGAAACGTCCCGGTGAAAAACGACGAGCCAATCGATACTACGGGAAATGAAGAGCCATTTTCTCTTATCCCTCGTCAGGAAATTAAATATTTTCCAGTCTCTCGGAAGAACGTTCACTTGTCAATCTCTAATCACTTCGCGTTGTTTATCTTCGTGAAACCCCTGAAAAATTAAATTTGTTCCCTCTCGCAAGGAACAATAATTCCAATTTAATTAACTTATTACTTCTATTATTGCCCGGTGAACTTTCTCTCGTTTCTCCGCGTCTCCTTTTCACATCGAATATGTCTGACTCACATATATTCTGAATGCAAAATACGCCGAGACCATTTCCAAAGGATATATTATCCAGATATCTTCGCTCTCTCGAAATATCCGCTGACGTATTTTCGCTCTCTCGGGGAAAAATTTTCCAGAACTACCCCGGAATAGAATCCGGCTCTAAAAAAAGGCCCGGCTTTCCTCGGAATATTCTTCGGTCGCGCTCGGAATATCCCGACGGGATATTCTCACTCTCCCTTTCCCTCTTCGTCATTCTTTCCTTAAGAGTTACATTGAAAATATCCTCCAAAAGTACTCACTCCCTTTCTTTTTCTTTTTCTCTCTCTGTTTCATGTCACGCTAACGAAAAGTAAGGGACAGATTTTCAGCACTGTTTACCCAACTAAACGAGGAGAGGAAAGAGAATCGGCAATGAAAACACACGGGACTGATTGACTCACCCCATTAGCTCCGTCTGTCTCTCCTTCTCTCCTTTTATTTTTGTCTCTTTTCCAACCCTTTTTTATGGAAGCGACTCGATTATCGCTCGCGATTGGATTTTACGCGAGCGCGAGCAGACTATCGATAGTGCGATGGCCCTACGCGAGCGGCGCTTAAATACGATTGAGTAGAATACAGAAAACGATAAAAACGTCGATGCCCGTCGACGCCTCGTTCCGATAAAACTCACGCCCCGTCGCGTCGCGATATGACACGAGAGTTGGACTGGCATATGTCCACGGCTTTCACCCCTTCCCTCACGACATTATAAAGCGCCCTCCGATGTAATCGCGTTTGATTTCTTCGCTAAAGGCGGCCGTTTTCAACAATTTCCCCTAAGTGGAATTATCGTAAAGGCGCGATCGCTTTCGGATGACGAGCATATTAAATCTTCGTCGTGTCGAGCCGGGACGTTGTCGCAATTACCGTTGAGTGAAAGATAGCCGCGACACTAATTTTCTCTCAGCCAAATATCACGTCTCGGGAATTATCTGGGATTATCTTACCGGGGATCATTCGCGCGAAACATGAATTTGAATTCTCCAGCGAACAACGACGAGCCAATGAGAGAGAGAGGGAGAGAAAGAGAGAGAGAAGGAGCCTGTCTTTTAGGTCCTTAGACTGCACCCTCTTCCATTAATAAAAGCCTCTATAAATTTAGCTCATAAACCTTTCGATTGATTTTCAATTACATTTAAAGTACGAGACATTAGACGTTCAAACGCTTTGAAACGCTTGGAGGAAAATCATGACTAGTCCACATGGGATTTCAAAGCATTTAATGTCTAATCGGTCGCACTCCTGGAAAGCTACTTTTATCGATAAAAGAGCGTTTAGAACAAAGGCCTTGGTTAAGGAACTTCATTAAATCCGTCTATAAATACTCTTGTGGTCTATCTTTAACATGTACCCGCGCCGTAATCTATTTATAATATTTATAAAAAGTCTAAGAAACTTAACTTATCATTGCTCTTTATTTAGATCCCGCTGCTTGCAAACAATGTTCGCCTCGAGATAATTACAAGAAAAAGAAATTGCGACTTGCGCGACTTTATTCCTCGCGGTAGCATTGATCCAACACAACGGGCGAAGCCATGTCGCTTCTCTTGTCTGCGATATCGCGTAGAAGAACGAAAGCCTCTTCGGCGCAGGTCGAATCGGAGATCCGTCAGGCGGCGAAATCCACGAGGAAGCGCGGTCTCCTCGCGAATCGATCTCCGTTAGAAGCTCGCGTCGCACGTTTTCCATCCCTGATAACAAAATGACATTTCCCGTGGTTCGAGTTAATGACTCTACTCCCTCAGTAACATGTCCAGAAGCTTCAAAATAATTTTCCAATATCCAAAAGTCGCGCACTGTTCTACTTGGGATCTCGTGTCTCATGACGCATTCTTGTGAAAAGCAACACATGCGAGCGGAATGCGTTACGCAACGTAGGTATTGTCCATAAGCGGGGCCGCAGGAGGAGACAGGAGGCTCGCCGTTCCGTAAGAAGGAAGCTCTCAGCCTCTTCTCACTTCTCCTGTCACTCGCGATGACTTAAACGACGTCGATATAAGCCCTTCGTCTGTTTCTTTCATCTGCCTTTCGTCTCTGCCATTTCATTCAAACTTAAAATCGCTTGCAGATAGGGGAGACCGGAGCTAGATGCTCTATATTTTAGAATTTCTGGAAAAATACCGAAGAATTTATTTGTGGGATATAATTTATTTCTGTGAAATACAAAACTTATTTCTGTCAAATAAACTTTTATATCCTACAAATAAATTCTCAAATATTTTTTTTTCAGCGTGTACCGCAGACAATTTTCCAACAAATACAAAAAACGATCAAAAGCGATCAATTTTAACTGTGACATTTAGAATTCTATCTGGTCCAGCGAAACATTTTTTTGAAGTGTTATGTCCCCGAATTGCACAAACCGCGGACTGTCCCACGAGTTACGCTCCATCGAATTCAAACTCGCATTCGCCGCCGCCCACGTAGGTATACCGTGGTATTTTTTTTTTTTTCTTTTTATAAGCGTTTGGTGAACATTCATCCCTCGCAAATTACGACTTTTATTTTCGTAGTGATGT